AATCTCTTCACCAGCATCATCCAAACCGGCAGCAACAAGATACACAGGTTGTGCACTGCACAACTCTAGGGACTGCCATTCACATTTGACACAATATAGAACTGAAGGCTTCACAAAAACTGGTGGGCAGCCAGGACTGATGTGCCTTCAAATAGGGAAGGATTTTGCATGCAGGCACAGTTATGTTGATCTTCATCATTATCCTAAATTAATATGGCACCATTGTGATACATAAAAGCATCTTAGAGAAGTTACTTAAATATAGTATCTGCCAAGAGCAGGTTTTATAAATGGGCATTGGTGATAAACAAATCTGACTTTGAAACGATCTCTACTGATTACCAGCACTGTGGCCTTCAACAAGTTACTTGATTTTCTTTATCCTCCATCTACAAAACATAAACATAAATATCAAATCCTAAAAGTTATCTTGAAGATTGAATGAGAAAATAAGTGCAGAGCCCCTAGTATGATATCTGGCAACACTCAAGATGTCCAAACCAAAAAAAAAACTCACTGAGGCAGTATCTCTATGGAAGTAGATTTCCCAATCCTCCTTCCAAGAAGTGGCTGGTGGGTTTGAACCACCAGCCTTCTGGCTATCAGTCAAATGCCTTAGGCACTACGCCACCAGAGCTCCCCTTCAGGATGTCCAATCAATCATATTTAAAAGCAATCAACTCTTCCATTTATGTCAAATAGGAACTTGAGTATGTGTTAATTTCTACTGTTACCTAAAAGCATGTGATGCTCTCATTCTCCCCACAACCGTTGCTAAATTACAGGAGTGGGTTCTCTGCCTACGACCACTGTGTCCTCCAGAGCATCCAACACTCAATGTAGTACAATGTATCTGTTTAATAAATAAAATGTTGATCGTCATTGCTGTCATTAGGTGCTCTCAAGGCTGTAATCCTTATGGGAGCAAATCACAAATTTTTTCTCCCGCAGAGCCTCTGGGTGGGTTTGAACTGCCAGTTCTAACTGGGTTAGCAGCCCAGCTCTTCACCTCTGTGCCATGGCTTCTAAAATCTTTTTAG